ATTCATGTAAAGCCTCAGAGAGGCGGGTTAGGAACTGTGTGGGATTTTCAGTGGATCTCTAAGCTTGTCATAATTGACTGACTTGTGAGTAGCCTTTTGGAGGCCGTGAAGTAGATGTGTGGTCATGTTATCCCAGAGATCCCAGTCCCCATGGCCAGCCTGGTAGTTCCAATTTGGGTCCGTGCAAGGAAAAGCAATGGCTCCCACAGGCCGCCTATTATTTTGAGCATGTACCTGAGCCACCATCCGGACCTGCTCCCTGTACACGGACTTGGACAATTCTGTCCCAGCTACTTCACGGAAGGATAATAAAAAGCTGGAGCTGAGGCAGGGTTGTTACCTGACGAAGGGGGAGAAGGGGAGGGGTTAAGTGGCTGAGGACGAGCGTCTGGAGGCCAGGTAGAGGGAAGAGAGGGAAATGTGGAGAGGCTGATGAAGGGTTTGGAGCGTACAGAGGTAGTCAAGGTGGCCCATACAGGTAGCAGAGTAGTCTGACAGATCAGAAGATTGATCTGAGACTGGAAAGGGAGGTCGAGTGTGAGCTAGGAGAATTTGAGACATGAGATAGTTTTGACAGAGAGAAGACCACATTCAGAGATAGGAGAAGGCCTGACCATAAAGGAATCTCTCTGTCTTGCCATTTCAGTGAGTATCTAAATTGAGAGTGCCATCTTGTGGCCACTGGGATCTATTGTAACAAGGCATTTGAGTTTTAATGTCTCCTTGGAGGCCGAGAGATTGGCCAGGAGAGCTCAGAGGCATAGAGTGCTGAGTACAGTAGAAAATGGGATGTTTGGGCCGGCCCAGTGGCGCACTGCTATAGTGCGCCGCTTGAGAGTGTGGTGGCGCTCCCGCCGAGGGGTTCGGATCCCACATACAGACCGGTTCCCGCTCACTGGCTGAGCGAGGCGCGGGAGCAACACCGAGGGTTGCGATCCCGTTGCCGGTCCCGGTCCGGTCCGGGCGCGACACTGAGGGTTGCGATCCATTGCCGGACACGAAAAAAGACAAAAAAAAAAAAAAAAGAAAATGGGATGTTTAAGGGCCAGCCCATGGCTCACTTGGGAGAGCATAGTGCTGACAACACGAAGTCAAGGGTTAAGAACCCGTTACCGGTCATCTTTAAAATAAAATGAGACATTTAGGTTTAATGTCTCCCTGGAGGCCAAGGAATTGGCCAGGAGACAGCCCAAGGGCATAGAGCATGGAGGTTTGGATCGTGAGGATCCCATGTAGAGGGTGAGAAAGGGCAGTCAGTCCTGGTAGGAGAAGAGTGCCAGCAAGGAGCATCCTCCTTGGTGTGCATCTTCTTTTTGAGAAAAAAGCCACGACCAGCTAATGGCACATCCTTCAATAGCTGGGGGGCATGAGAAAAGTTCCCTCAATAGAGACCAGAGTCGTAGAGAGTAGTTGGGGGAACTTGTAGAGGCAGGACAGACCCACTGACTCACCCTGAATTGAGGCCAGTGTTGGATGCGTTAGTCTGAAACAGCAAAAGTAGAGAGTTATGGAGGCACCTGGTTACGGGGGCAGGTCTGGGAGGGGTGGCCGGGAGCCAATCAACCCAAGAGAGGGGATCATCCGACGATCCGGCCAAGACCCTTCCTGGGTTTCGGCACCATAATGAAAGAAAGTGAGCTGAGACGCCAGGTACCGTTCAAGCTTTATTAAAGGAAAAGAATCTGCCAGGCTGCGCTCAAAGTGGGGAACAGCCTGGGGCTTCCCTGAAAATGGGAGACAGCAGCAGGTGTGGGGGTGGTAGAGCTTATGTAGTGGCCAAGGGCTGGCTGATACCATCGAGGAGGAGCATTATGCTAATGTGGAACAGGGTGGAGAACTGCAAAGGGCTTTCTGTCTAAGTCAGGAGGCTTCTCTAATGGGAAGAAGGGGTGGGAGGGCTTGGTGCTGGAGTGGAAGATGAGGCTGGTGGCTCATTCTGTACACAATGGTACCAGTCACGTCCAAAATTCATCATATGGGGCATCTGGAAAAAGCAACGCCTAGTGGCTGCCTGCTCAGACATTCCCAGTCCAGTTAGAAAACAGCACATGCAGGGGCCTCTGCAGGCCACATGGGCTGACCACTGCACTGGCTGTGTCCACGCCACATGCTCAAGAAGTTCAGGACACACGCAGGTGCCCCAGTGGGAGAGGCCTTCAGCAGAGGGGAAGGCCCCGCGGAGAAAACAGGTCTTCCTGGGCCACATTAAGAGACCCCTTACCTAGGTGTGTGGCCCTCAAATCGTTTCAGGCCACTGTTGGGGTTTTGTTGTTTTGTTGCATTAGAAAATGTATTATACCCTGGGCCGGCCCTGTGGCTCACTCGGGAGAGTGCGGTGCTGATAACACCAAGGCCCCGGGTTTGGATCCCACATAGGGATGGCCGGTTGGCTCACTGGGTGAGCGTGGTGCTGACAACACCAAGTCAATCATTCCCCCTCCTGCCAGTGTCCCCTCCTGTCAGTGTCCCCTCCTGTCATTCCCCCTCCTGCCAGTGTCCCCTCCTGTCACTCCCCCTCCTGTCAGTCTCTCCTCCTGCCAGTGTCCCCTCCTGTCAGTGTCTCCTCCTGCCACTGTTCCCTCCTGCCAGTGTCCCCTCCTGTCAGTGTCCCCTCCTGTCAGTGTCTCCTCTCATTCCCGCCTTGGCCGTACAGCAGAAAATGGGAGACAGCAGCAGGTGTGGGGGTGGTAGATCAGTGTCCCCTCCTGTCATCCCCCCTCCTGTCATTCCCCCTCCTGTCATTCCCCTCCTGTCAGTCCCCTCCTGTTAGTGTCCCCTTCTGTTAGTGTCCCCTCCTGTCAGTGTCCCCTCCTGTCAAAAATGTATTATCCCATAAAAAGAGTTAACTATGCTTGTATACACATTTAGCCAATTCCTCAGAGGGAGAAATAAAAGGAAAGACGCAGCCCCTTTGCACCAGGCTCCCAGGCCGCGGACACTTTGGCGTCTCTGCGCTCCCGCCAGGGCTGCAGGGGCCGCCTCCCGAGAGCTCGCGCCGGCCCCGCCCACCAGGCCCCGCCCTCCTGAGCCCCGATTCCCCCTCCTGTCATCCCCCATCCTGTCAGTCCCCTCCTGTCAGTTCCTGCCAGTGTCCCCTCCTGTCAGTCCCCCTCCTGTCAATCTCTCCTCCTGTCAGTGTCTCCTGTCAGTGTGTCCTCCTCTCATTCCCCTCCTGCCAGTGTCCCCTCCTGTCACTCCCCCTCCTGTCAATCTCTCCTCCTGTCAGTGTCCCCTCTTGTCAGTGTCCCCTCCTGTCATCCCCCCTCCTGTCATCCCCCCTCCTGTCATTAGCCCTCCTGTCATCCCCCCTCCTGTCAGTCCCCCTCCTGTCATCCCCCCTCCTGTCATCCCCCCTCCTGTCATCCCCCCTCCTGTCATCCCCCCTCCTGTCATCCCCCCTCCTGTCATCCCCCCTCCTGTCATCCCCCCTCCTGTCATCCCCCCTCCTGTCATCCCCCCTCCTGTCATCCCCCCTCCTGTCATCCCCCCTCCTGTCATCCCCCCTCCTGTCATCCCCCCTCCTGTCATCCCCCCTCCTGTCATCCCCCCTCCTGTCATCCCCCCTCCTGTCATCCCCCCTCCTGTCATCCCCCCTCCTGTCATCCCCCCTCCTGTCATCCCCCCTCCTGTCATCCCCCCTCCTGTCATCCCCCCTCCTGTCATCCCCCCTCCTGTCATCCCCCCTCCTGTCATCCCCCCTCCTGTCATCCCCCCTCCTGTCATCCCCCCTCCTGTCATCAGCCCTCCTGTCA